TATATATATATATATAAAATTTTCATTTCAAAATAAAATATTTTACTCCTTATCCTGGCAAACTCGACTGACTTGGATTTTGAGCTGAATGCACAGTAAGTCGAGGGTTTTTAGGACACATGTTCTCAAAGTACTGAGGTAAAGTAATTTTAATTTCATAAAGTTTGACTTGAAAAGATCAAAGTGGATAATATTTATTAAATTTTGAAGGTGTTTGGTGACCAGTTGTACCCTTCAAAGAAATCAGAACAAACACAGAGCATTATTTTTCATTTATATACTTAATGATACCATTCAACCATAGATAATAAAGTTGTTGAAGGCATGAAATCTTTTAATTTAAATTTTTAAACACCCATTCAATTGATCATTAGTCAGAACGATCAATCAATAGATATTATAAATATCAATTACTCGAATTGCAAAACATACAGTGCACGTTAATTTGAAAGTTCTGAACATGCAATATCAAAGAGTACCAACAGAATTCTGATAGTTTTCACAAGACCAACATGGGGTTTTCAGAATTCAGGGTCATTCTCCTGTCTGATGGCATATTTCATACAATTTTTTGTAATTAATGATAGCAGAAGTCAATCAATCTCTCGTGAAAACTATTTCTAACTTACACATCATGAAAATACATTCAATTACAAAATCCATCCAGCTGATTCTACTACTCAGCAGTGGAAAAATATTTATCAGTGTTTTGCGGTCTTTGGCAACGCTCATTTGTTAAAGAAGCTGCCATTATAATCGTTTATTGCTCTGAACTAGCTTGACATATAAGCGGTTGGATATATCAGCAGCTGCTAAATGAGCAACAGCTGATTTACATCAAGTGCAAAGATTGCACAATCATACTTATAAGATTGTGCTGTTTGTGCACACTGAACAGAAGCAAAGCAATAATTAGGATTGGAGGAGGTGATAATTAAAAGACGATTAATCACTGTTATTCTTCTGTGATTGGCTAGTATGGTCTGTTTTTGCACTTTTGGCTAAAATTTCAAGAGTAAAATAATGGTAATGAGTGAAAATGAAAAATGTCCTTATTAACACTTTTAACAAACATTTGGTAAAGACATAATATTACCAAATTTATATTATAATCTTAAAATCGGTAACAAATAATGTCGAGCTTTTAAATGTTGATAATCGTGATTTGTTAACAGCACTTTTTATTAATATTTAACTGTTTTTTGATAAAAACAATTAAGAAATTGAACTGGGAAAAAAAAAATTTGTGGATAGAAGAGCAAGTAAGATTCTACATGTATTTAGCATCATATTACAATCATTTTGTTTTGGGGGTATGGCAAGGCCATAAACACTTATCATTGTGTTAACTTACGATTCTTTACATGGGAATATAGAACTAGCCTCTCTGAGTGTTTAAAGAATTATTTCAACACTCAAACTGCTGACCCAATTGCACAACTCTTAATTAACAGATACGAAAATACAATTACATGATGGAAGGCCTGTCTCAAACAGTCCAGTAGTTTTTAGGAAGCGATTATAGTTGAAAACTGTTTTGAAATGTTTTGTAAACATCTGACAAACGTTGAAAGCTGAAACTATCACTTAAAGAGAGTTGGGAAAGGTTCTAATAATATAAGGCCCAAAAGGTGCAACAGGAATACATTACCTAAACAAAGATAATTGAAAAAAAACCTATGCTAGGATCCACTGTTCGCTCTCCCCCATTAGTGTGACTGGTAAGTTACAGTTGTAGTGCTAGAAAATATATTAAAGTGACCATGAAGCACCCTCTCCAATGATGCAGTAGCCAACAGAAGTATGAAGTAACAACTGGTTTTCAACAAATAATGGCCCTGCAGTTACAAATGCTAAAAATATGCTTGTTGGCCTTATTTAACAGTGGTATCACCTCAGTTTCCCTTACAGGCTAACAGAACACCGACAGCAAATTGTCACATCTGTGACAGTCATTTCACATGAATAAGGAAGGGTATTCAAATATAGGACAAACAGTAGAATTTATACAAAAGAATTTATATCATTCATTTAAAATAATTTTAGTAATTAAGAGTCGGTAAAGAAAACGTTTTTTTTTTTTTTGTGTAGTATCCAACATGTATATAACTTGCAATAATGATGAAATTAGCATTTAAGAGACTTACTTGGTATATCCTGGTAATGTACCATCACAATACTTGGGCAACCAGGTAAAGATAATTTTATTCAACAAAAATTTGAGAAACACTCTTCGGAAGCCTAACATGCAAGCCACCTATGTCCTCTAAATTAGTTCAAAATGATTTGAACATCAATTTATAACTCCACAGTACAATTTTATTGAAGAAAAAGCATTTCGAACTTATTTTGATGGAAATTTACAAATTATACATGAAACTAAAATTGAAAATTCACTCAAACTAAAGAGTGACCTCCTCATGTGGTATTTCCATTTCAACATCTGATTCATGAACTTTTTCAGCAATAGATTCTTCTTCAGCACGACGTTCTTTAAGACCAGCAGCTGGAGACCTGATGAGAGACAGATCTCTCTGGACTGTGCGAATATCTGCTTGTATTTCCACATCACGACCTTTTCTAAGTCGCTGCATAACATAATGTGATTGTCGCCTTTGCTGGATATCTACAACCTTCTTCATGGCTTCCACTAGTGAACAGAATTAAATAACATTAGCTTCTGGGAGTGCTAATAGAAAAAAAAAATATAGCAATAGCAATGAAATATTACCGGTTTTAGTCCACAATTCACGATCGTATTTCACGGGAACATGACGCCTTTTTTCAAATTCAAAAGATGGATCTACAGCAAGTTCTTTACCAGCAGTTTTTCTGAATGCTTTCGTCCACTTAACTTTACGAGGATTCTTCTTTTTCTTAAATGCTGCATGGCACTTCGATCGACAAAATTTAAATATCTGAAATACAATGCGTAATTAAGTGAATATTCAATTGATGACAGCGGGTGAATACCGTGCGTCTCCTACCTTGCAATCATTGCGCACGAATTGAATTCCATGGCCAGGATAAATCCTTGATGAGCAGAAATAACACGTTTCAATACGCATCTTGACTCTGCAGAGATTTACACTTAAAAATATATAAATTCACAATCGCTTCCGCACAATCGCACAATCGGGGAAACAACATGAACTGTTAACAGCACGCGGTCAACCTAACCCTACTTCCCCCCACAAAACACACACATGCTCAGGACTCAGAAAACGTGCAAAGAGAAAAACCAATCCTAAACGTTATCCCCGCTGACAAGGAGGTTACAACCTCCTTGGCCGATGTCTGCCAAAGGATGTTTCATCCAAATAGAAAAAAGATAAAAATCTATACTTTTTTGTGATTTAAGACAGCATCAAAATCTAGGTCATTAGTGTCCACCATTGAGTTTAACGTTATGGTGACTATGAAGATGACACGATATGATTATGATGGGGACGGAAGGACGAACACATGCGGGACTCGAACCCGCGATCCTTCAGTCCGATATTGCCACGGCTTTACTGTCAGGGCCTTACTCTGTGCATTGAAAGGGGAAAACAATTGAGTAGCCCGACGCGAATTCAATGATGGAAGGACAATGAAAATAAATGTTCCTATTTTTATACTTTTTTGTTTTACTCTGTATCGGATAATTTATTATATTTATACATTGCCTCCCTGAAGAAAAGTGATTGAGATTAAAGTTGAGATACAATATAAAACAAGAAATTGCTGAATATTGTAACATGAATTCGTATATTACCCACGCACGTTTCCTTGAGCCCTCGCTCTTTAGATGCGAGAGGGGAAAGTTTAGTCATTTTGACAAAAGGAATTTTACATCAAATTAGTAGTTCATTTTCCCACGCAAAATAGTTTCTAATACACGGAAGCGAACATTTCTCGTTACCAGATTTTGTCTACAACGCTCGTTGCTATCATTTATTCTTAATTCAACTAATGTCGGGAAATGAGTGGGGGTGCATATTCCGCGGCTGAAGAAATCGTACGGATTACACTCTGTGACCTCACAGGAGGAAAAGAAACATTTTTTTTCTTTGGTGTTCTCGGGTTCTCTCTAACCATAGAGTAGAGATATTGTATCTCACCTCTATGTCTCTAACATGTTGTAACCCAAAGAGTATATATGCTGTAACCTCTGAGAATGCTCCTTCCCGCCAATAACGTAAACGCACAGAAGAAAACACGAAAGTGCGTTTGCGTCGGTTTCGAGGTATTATAAATGTGTGTGTTTTAGGCAATTTAATAATTTTTTATACTGTGTGCCCAAATAATGAAGGGTATTTGATTGGAGGCAATTCCTGTAGTTCTGAATCGATGAAGTGAGAACCAGCAAAAGAGGATTTGTGTGATTTGAAACTGAAGGTGAAAAGTCAGTAACGTTCAAATTTTATTTTAACTGGCAATGCCAAAATGTTTAATCAATATTTATCCTTGTGTTGCCGTAAACTGAATTTGAATTTCGGGCCAAATAATAAAAGTAATCAAAAGTATCCTGTTTCTAGGAACAGTGTGTCAAAATGAACAAGAAAGTTTTGGGTGCTGTGACTACTCCTGCAGCAGGTTCAACATTTAACAGAAGAAAATCCTTAAAAGCGACTCCTGATGTACCAGAAGATATTCCATTGGTAAATGTTTACTTCAATTCCATGTTTCTTTAATGTTTTTTATCTCTTTCTCAAAGACTCAGATAATACAGTGGATCCAGTTACACCTTTCTCCTTTGAGAATTTGTTTAAGTTTCAAAGCGGTCTCACAGGTAGCACGTCAGTAGCAGAACTTTTCCTGTCAGAGTAAATAAGTATGAACATTTTGGACTTGATGGTGTTTATAATGTAAATAATGTTTTTGAAATCCATTTTACACGTTCTTAGACAATTGATCATCTAGAAAAAATATGGAATGAATAATAACCAGAAATTTACTCTGTGAATATTAAATTATTGTATTGTTTTCATTTTATCTTTTAATTACTTACCCTTTTATTTTCTTGTCTATTTTACCACTGACTGTGAAAATTAACTAGTCATGTTAACATGAAAAGAAACACCAAGAACCTGACTAAACATCTGCAGTCTCGCAGACCACACATCACTTGTAACAGAAGTTCAGATGTATGTCACTATTTAATGGTGAAGTTTAGTGTTGTAATAAAATTACATGTCAAGTAGTCAATTTGTTAATTCTGTTTATATTGTTGCGGGTCTAATTGTGTTAAATGTTTTACTTGTTAGTGATATATTTTTCTTCTTAGATTTGCAAATGGTCTAAATTTTTGACATACTGTGAATTTCGTCATTACCCTACTTGTCTCAGTATAATCTTTACTATAGATGATTTGTTTAAAATTTTCATCTTTTACTTTTAAAATAGAAACTCAGCTTATGAATTAATGAAAGGTAGTTTGAATAATTTTCTCATAGAGAAAGAAAGAAAGCAAACGATAAATAAGTTATTATGGGAATTATTAAAGTTAGAATAAAATTTTAAGATTTTTTTTCTTTCCAAATTATGTTTATAAATTAATGTGTTTAATGAGATATTTGCAACTAATGAATAATGTTGAATCAATAATTTTATTTGGATTCTTATTCGATGGCAATAAATGAGGAACAAACATTCAAATGGTGACTTTCCCATCTGACAATAATTTAGTTTTTGTGTTTTTACCTAGAATTTTATTTTCAGAAAAAAAATGTGAGATGTCTTTCAATACATTTATTTGTTCTCAATTGGTTCAGGTAATGATGTTGAAACGTAAAATTTGTGCTTTATTTTTAATTTGTATTGGAAAAGTTTGTCGGTGGCGATGCTGTAATGGGTAGCGTACCGGACTGTTGTACCCAACTTGGCTGGTTCAAACCCCAATCGAAGCCATGGATTTTTAAGGGCGAAAAAATCCTTCATATGCCTTCCTTCGGAGGGGAAGAAAAGCTGGCTGTCCCATGTTAGTAGATTTACTTGCATGTAAAAGATCCTCAAGCCTAAATCACGCCTCTGAGAAAAATTCAAATTGCCTGCTTCTCGTCCAAGAAATACCTCCTTTCTCTGCTAGTTGGTGAAAGGAGCGAAGCGAAATTTGTGTGGTCAGACGGAAGAGCGGGCCTGATGGCCCGAGTCTCCCCACGTAAAATAAGGCATTAATTCAATTCAATTCAAGAGTAAAGAGGACATATCACATGTTTAAAAGTTGCTCCTCAAATTTGAGTACGGATTCAACAATTTTGTCATCAGCTAATTCAACTACTAAAGTTTGAAAAGATTTGCTAAATTTAATGAATTGTTTGGTGATAATGAGCAGCAGCTTGGATGATTATTATAACATTCCAGTATTTGATAAACTCAGGCTTTAAAATAAAATAAAAAACAAGAAAACCAAACCAAAGCCTGCCATTGGATATTTTTGGGTTTTATTGAGAAATGTTATTTTTTAAATTGGTATAAAATACAGATTCTCTTCATTTGAACAGATAAAATTTTCTTTCAGTAGTGCTAAGTATCGTGCATTCACGAGACACACATGCCACGCTCACACTATATAACACAATTTTAGCATTTCAAACTTTTAATTTTAATTACTATTATCGTGTTTGGCTAAATAAGTTTCAAAGGATGAGCATGTAGCAAAGTTGCAACACAAATTTCCATTTACTTAATGTTTATGTTGTACTTCAATTGTCTTTGTATTTGTTTGTGTGTAATTGTTATGATAAAATGGGAGTTTTCAATAATAGCAAATGAAGTTGTACATTATTGTCAGTTTACTTTACTTTCTACGAGTGTATTTTTGGAGGATCCTGAGAAAATGCCAATTGTGAAGTAATCTCATGAAACAATGTTTTTTAGAGGAATATAATGATAAATTTTATTTTCCAGAATGATGATGAAGCTGAAATTGAGCAACGAAGACGACTCAGTGGGAGATTTGGACAATTGGCAGGAAAACGTGTTTCTTTGGGAGGAATTGCTGAGTTGTCAGCATCAGAGTTGGTGGCTCAGTACACAAATTGCATGCGTTTGTCTGCTGAAAATGTAGGTTCTTCTTTCTCTGTAGTTATTCTAGTAAGGAATTTGCATTTTGAAATTTAAATAGTGAAATTTTATTATAATTATAATTTTTTCCTTTTTGCTTCCAGAAAATAAATCATAAAAATGCTTTCAGTTTGCCACTTATTGATTGTATGAAATTACTTTTGAAAAAAAAGGATGAACAAATGAACAATTTTCAGGTTAGTTTCTGAACAAATTTTATTATAAAATTTATTTGAGGTCATTGTAAGGATAATACAAATAAAAACAACAAATAATTTCCTACTTTTGCTATATTCATAACAAAGCCAAAAGCTTTGCAATTTGGTTTCTTATTTTAGCAGAGCAAAGTAATAGATATTGTACACATGTTGGGTTAAAAATAAGCAAATGAGATGTTTGTGTGTAAATCATGTAATTAGGCATTGTCATATTCAATTAGAAAATGCATTTTTGTTCCATTATTTACTTATAATGAGCATCATGTGCCGGAATGCATATGTGAATTATCCTTGACATCTCTTGGAATGTAGAGAGGACTACTCCTTTTCCTTCAAATACTCAATAAAATCGATTCTTTTGACACTGGGGCATGCTAAAGGAAATTGGAGGCATGGCTCATGACTAACACAGAAAAAGGTTTGGATTAATTTCACAAATGGTTACAGTCTTGAGCAGGGAGCTAGGAAGCTCTCTGTTGTATTGTAATTCTGGTCTGTGGAAGAATACAATACAAGGGTGATACTGTCTTCAGCATTCCTTAACTGTTTTAGAATTTTACAAAACTATGCTCTCTGACCTGGATCTTAATTTTGCTCAAACTGTCAGATATCCTCTACAATATGCTAAGGGAAGTTAACAGTTTTTATAAGGAACGGTGAACTGGAAATCCCATAAGTATATTGCTCCTCCACTTTGCAGACCAAGTCAAAGAGGTATACACAGGAGAACCTACTGACCGCTTACCAAACATTGGAAATAGATTCACTGTAACAATCAAAGAAATTGAATTTTCAAATATTGAAAGAACTTGAAATCTTGGACTGGATGCAAACTCTTCTGCCTTTTTCTGCATTTCAACATTCAATATAAAAAAATGTGCAATATGACTGGCTTCAATGCTCAATAAAATTTTCACTCACTAGACATAATGAAACTACTTTCCTTACGGAAAATTGCTCAGGTGCCTTTCTTCAAAAAAAGGTGATAAACAAATAGAGAATTATGTACTAATAAACTTGATCTGCACATGAGTCACACATTTGCTGTGGTGTGGTAAAAGTTGTGAAGGGAAGTTCAGAGATTCCGTGTCTATGCACAATGGAATAATTTGATTTCTGTAGAACAACACAGATTCGTCCATGGAAGATCAACCATCACCCCTCTTGTTAGTTCACTTGATGTGTGGGTTAAGGCATTTAACCGTGGACAGCCTGGACATATTTCAAAAAGCTTGCAAGAAACTCCCCCATAAGTGACGAATTTACAAATTCGAACTGATGGAATCTAAGACAAATTACTATCATTGATCCAAGAATACCTTTTAAACAAAACATTCCGAGTGCGTTAGAGACTTAAGTGATCCTTATCTGTTACAAGAGGTGTACCTCAAGGATCCATCTTGGAACCAGTGATGTTTATCTTATACACCTGAGACCTGGTTCGCATCGTAGAGCGAGCCCAGTTCATACGAGCTCTGTTCAAACGCGCACATTCAAGAAGCGACCGACGAAAAGCGACGCAGCAGTCGAAGAGGTGACGCCTTCGCCCGAACACGATCCACGCCGCCGGAGAAGTGTGAAGAGGCCCGCTGGCAACACCACCGCCCGCTACTCTCGACTTATCAACCATTCCGAGAAGCCTCTTCAGGAGAGCACTCCAGGAGAACAACACTGCGGTTCTTCGCAGCGGCGCGGCTTCGGCCGCTGCCATCAATTATGGAGGTTGATTTAATAGAGGTAAACCCGCCAACGGAATCGACATCCCGAGCAGGCCTTGCGAGACGTGCTCATGACTCTTCCCCCGACTCCTCCCCAGACCGACCTAACAAGAAACCCCTGCTGGGTGACGGCTTCCAGCTTGTCAAAAATGGCGCTAGACCAAAATCCCCGACAATCCTCAATCCCACGGAAACAAGAAATAGATACCAACCCTTAACTACCCCTGACCAACCCACGACCAACTCAAACACCCCAGACAACCAGAATGAACTAACCCCTCCTCCTCAAACTACCCAAAGACAACAAAATCAAGGCAAGGGAAGGATCGGACCATTTCGCATCGACCTGACTTCCATTCTCGACCCGACCGAACTGACAAAAGACCTTATGAAAACCTGTAACAACCACATGACCGCTAAAGGCAAAAGCCCTTCGACAACAATCCTTGTAACCCTCACCAACCACTACTCCTCCACAACTCTCTGAACAAGCCTTCCCTTCTCTACCAAGACACAACTTCTACGCCACAGCCACCAATCCAGCCCAACCAAACACCGGAACTCAACCCTCCCAATCAACTGCCCAAGACCTCAAAGACCTCTTCTCCCTCCTCCAAAATCCCTCCATTAAAAAGATCCTATCCAATATTAAACCACTCCTTGAAATCCTTGAAGGCCCAGAGGACATTGTAACAAAATTAATAGCCGCTGGCTTAAAAATAGTTGAAATCTTGAATTAAATGGCCCCTTCTCCCCGCATCCTCACCCTGTCCTCATGGAATGCAAGAGGCGGTTTAAATCAAAAGATTCCCATCCTCAACCAATTCCTTTCAGACCACTCCGTCGGGATTCTTTTACTACAAGAGACATGGCTGACTCCAAATTTACATTTTAATATCCCTAACTACATAACCACACGCTCCATCCCACATACCCACTACCCCCTCCCACAAACAACTGCCCTCGAATGCACTGCCATCGCAATAGGAACTACCTCAACTCCCATTCTCATCGTATCCTGCTACAAAATACCAAGCATCCCCTACCCACATCTGATCTTGACGCCCTTAATAACCTCCCCTACCCATTCATACTTGCAGGAGATTTAAACTGTAAATCTACGAACTGGGGCTGCACGACAAGCAACAGAAACGGACTCCGACTTGACACCTTTCTAACCCAAAACACCCACATCCATCTAAAAATCCCCCTGAACCAACACACATCCTCAATGATTTTCCCCACGACATTCTTGATATTGTCCTCCATTCTTCCCAACTCCAGACAACCATTCCTTACCCAAAATACGACCTCTTCAATATCTCGGACCACCTCCCAATCGTATTCAATTGCTCCACAGCCTCATACTATGCCCTCCCCAATCCACCTCCCATTCCCTCCACAAACTGGAAAATTTTCAAGAACATCCTATCCAAGAAAATCCACGTTCCTACAGAAATCCACACACAAGAATCCATTGGTAAGTCCATTCAACACCTAACCCACCACATCAAAAAAGCCTATCAAAAATCAACCACCTACACCCCAAACCTCCACCCCACCCTCCCAAATGAAATCCTCACCATAATACGACACAAACGAAGAATACAACGACTGTTTTACAAACACAGACGCGACGAGGACAAAAGACAACTGAAACAACTACAAAGACAAATACAAACGCTACTACGACACAACGAAACACAAATATGACGACTTTTTAAAGGACAACCGCAGCCCCAATAAATTACACAAAGTAATAAAGGCAGTTCGCAATCACCCCTCCCCAATATCCCCAATATTGACTAACAACACCCTAACCTTTGACCCCCAAACCATTACAAACACCCTTGCAAAATCCCTAGCCGACTGCTTCCTTCCTTCCAACTACCCAATCCCAGACAACGTTATTTTAAATTACCTCAAAACTCCCGCACTACCACCAGAAAAGCAACAAATTTGGACGACCAATGACAAAGAATTACGACAAATCATCAAGACAGTAGACAGTACAAAATCCCCAGGACCCGACGGAGTCTTCCCATCCCCAATCATCTCACCAAAAATGCAATAGACCTCACCCTTATCCTAAACTCCTGCCTTAAACTATCCTATTTCCCCACTGCTTGGAAAACCGCCTGCGTAACCATGCTCCCCAAACCCGGCAAGGACCATCGGCTCCCTGAAAATGACCGCCCTATTAGTCTCCTACCAATCCTCAGTAAAATTTTTGAAAAAATCCTACTCCTACGTCTAACCCCCATCCTAGATCCCATCATCAACGTCTCTCAATTCGGCCCTCCAAACCCCGAACCTCTCCATTGCAATAGCCACCCCCCTACAAGACCAAAAAGAAATCCCAACCATGTTCATCGACCTCACCCAAGCCTACGACACAGTCTCCCACCAAATCCTTCTTATGAAAATCCGACCATACATTCCCAACCATCTCCATTCCCTACTCCAAAGCTACTTCAGTCACCGATACTTCCACGTTCGCTACCTGTCAAAATTCTCACCTAACCACCCAATCCAAGCCGGCGTCCCACAAGGAGCCGTCCTATCCCCAATCCTTTTTCTCCATTATACATTAATGATATCCCACGCACCCATGGAGTGCAAACTTTCTTTTACGCCGATGACCTTGGCTTTCCTTACATCCTTCCACTCCCTAAACCGATCCCTTATCCGTCTCCCAATCCGCTTAGATTTATTTACACTCTGGCCTCACAAAACGCCATCATTATCAACCCCATAAAATCACAAGCCATCATCTTCTCATATAAAACCTACCCTTCTAAACCCCCTCCCCTATCCATAGCAAACACACCAATCCGTCTGACAGACGAAATTAATACCTTGGACTCACTTTTTCCCGACGCCTCCTCTGGACCAACCACATTCACAAAACCAGAACAAAAGCCACCCGAATTACGAACCCCTACTACCCATCCTTCCCTTCCTACAAAAAATAAACTCCAAACCTACTATACCTATATCCGCCCCATCATCTCATACGCACATCCGACTTGGACTCCACCTCTCAACAAAACTCTTTCAAAAATAACCCGAATGGAAATTATGTCCTCCGCCTCATATTCCGCCCACCTATGTACACGCCTTTTAACCAACTCAGATCCCAACATCAAATCCCTCACATCCTCACACATCTCCATCACTCGGCAAAAAATCAAATTCAAAAATTCGTCCTAAATCCTTAAATTCCGCCAAACTTATCATTCCCCATCACCATATCTTAAG